GAGCAGGCCTCCGTGGGGAGCTGGCCCGAGTCCCGCATGCCATGGCCCAGTCAGTCCTCCCCCAGCAGCACAAAGAACAGTCCCTGCAGCGACCTGAGCTCCTGATGGCAGATTAAAGGCTGATCCCAAAGGTTTGCAATGGGTCAGAGTTTATGAACACAAAAGGGCTTTAATGCAGCCAGGCTTGGGAGGGATCAGTGCCCCCATGGAGCTGTGTCCTGGGAGGAAAGGGCCTGTGCGGGCTGTGTGTCTGCATGGGGAAACCAGGGCTGTGCTTGCAGAGGAAGGGCCTGGCAACTTGGAGCTGTGCCGCAGGAGAAGAGGATCTTTGTGGGGGTCCCCAAAAGGGGCAGCTGGGTTGGGCACCCCGTTGCCCAGACCCTGTGTCAGCTCGGTGCTCGCAGCACCCTGGCCTGGGGACCTGCCTGCAGCCGGTCTTTGGGCAGGGGGAGCACTGCGGCACAGCCTGCGTGCCTTGACCAGGCCATCGCCTTTGAGGGAGACGTGTTTTGTAGGCTGAGCTCTGCGGCTGGTCCCTGCTTCGGGACTCTTAGTGCATCTCTGCGCACCCTGGTACTTGCTGGGCCATTGAGCATCAGAAATAACACCCCACTTTCCCTCCTCTCTGGACCATGAGCTCTTGTGGTTCCCCGCCCCAGGTTGGGACCTGTCTCCTTGCCCGGGAGCACAGCAAGGTGGTCCTGCCCTGGCGTCGCTGTGTCAGCCAGCCTCATCCCACAGGGCCTTGGCTGCCAGGCTGGGATCTGGCCCAGGGGCCCAGCACGGAGAGGGGGAGCTGGCAGGATCCCAGTGCCCTCCGTGGCTGAGCACGGGGCCATCGCGTGCCCAAGGGAAGGGAGCGGGGTGTCTGAGCTGGAAGCGAGCCTGCTGTCCTGCCTGCTGCACACAAGCCTTCGAGTTTCTCTTCGCCTCGGAGCTCAAGGCGAGGAGGTGCCGTCGGACAGCATCTGCGGTGTGAACGGCACGCGGTTGCTGCCCTGCGTTTCAGGGTTGCCCTGCAGTGGCTTCAGGCTGCCTGTCCGCTGATCTGTGGGAAAACTGAGGGTGGAGAGGGGCAGATGGAAAAGGCAGACCCTCTGGTGCCCCTCCGAATTGCCTAGCTCTGCTGCGGGACCCCTCCGGCTCCATGCAGCCCATCCCCCAGCCCCG